AGATTAAACTGAAGTAATAAAGGTAAAAAATCTTCATCTACATCTTCACGTATCCACTTTCTCGCAGTTTCTTGCAAATCAGCATCTAAATTATCTAACTCCTCAATATATTTGGGATTTAGCATAAAAGCAATTATATGTGCTAAAGTGATGCAATCTTTGAATCTTTTATTTATAAGACTTTCGTATGGATATAGTAAGTATAGGGACATTCCACGTTACTCGGTAGTTTTTGTCCCACCCGTCACAATTAAAAATTGTGAGTAAATACCACAAGTTATTAAATTATTATTTTATAATATAATTTTTATTGTGCTTATAAGCCTCTTACAAGCATAATAAACAATATTTAAAAAAAAATTTAATAACGTGTAGTTTTTACTCACAATTTTTAATTGTGACGGGCGGAGCAAAAATTACCGAGTAACGTGGAATGTCCCTATAGTACCTATATAGTAAGCTCCACCTTAAATTTCGCGAAAATTGTTAAATATTTTGAACTGTGACTACAATTATGCATTAAATCGTTTAAAAATTTGCAATGCCATGTTTTTAAGGGAACTGTATTCATTTTTTACCTCAAAGCATTATTTATTATTTAAGGTTTTGGTTAACGTTGAAGTAAGTAGTACTTACTAGAAACTAGGAATAGGTACTTAATGGTAATAAAATTTAAAATCAGCACTTACCTCTCTGTTTATCTTTATTTTCCATCCTTTATGAGGTACTTTACATCTTACATTACGAAACAAACACAAATCGACTACATTCTAACCTCAAATAAAATAAATAACAACTATTTTCTTCAATTTTCAATTTATACAACACAAAATACAGATGTACATTTTGGTTGCCTAAACATGGCTTAGTAAACCAACAAATTTAATAAAATAGAATAAAATTTGATTTTTTCCAATATTGTCCGTTTTTGTCCAATTTTGACCATGTCATGGACGAAATCAAAAAAAGTGGACAAAATCACAACCCTGTGTTCCCTTGTGTTATTTTTTAACATTTATTATAGAATTTTGTTAGGTTTTGACCGAGGGGGAAACCACCTTCCGCAATACGTGTACATTTGGCCCGAAATCACTCGCAATCGCCGAAATCCCTACCCGCAATCCCGCAGTCACTTCGCAATCGCCGAAATCCCTACCCGCAATCCCGCAATCGCCGAAATCCCTATCTGCAATCCCGCAATCGTGGAAATCCTATACTTGCAATCCCGCAATCGATCGAATTCGACGATGATGGGGGTATAAATCGGCAACGCCTGCGCTCTGCAGCCATTTGCATAAGATTGGCGGAAGGTATACGTTGGTACCTATGCATTTTAAAAAACAATTGTTTATAGTGTTTGTGAATTTTGCGATTTAGGCTGAATCATTCAGCACATGTGGTAAGACTGGTTAGTACATATCAAAGTTAGATACTAATCTATTACGCGTATTTCGCCCCGTTAGGGATTCCATCGAAACGAGACAAAAGAATGCCCCCTCTCGCCGAGAATCTCTCTCGATTTTTCCGGTACATAAAATCAAACAGATATTTATTTAATATAGATATACCGCAAGCTATACATAGTGAAAATACATTGTAGGTGGACCAGACAAGTTGAAGTCAGCGCAAAGCGAAAAAGTTCTCAGAAATTATTTGGACGTAATAAAATTTTAATCGCCAGTAAACAAGGTCACCTGTTACGTCGCATGTTAGTCTACTAATCCACTCGTCAAAATAATTTCTGGGAACATTTTCGTTTCGCGCTGACCGCGCCGACTTCGACTTGTCTGTTCCACTTACAATGTATTTTCCCTATGTATAACTTGCAAATGAAGGTACGGTAGAATTCCATATCACCACGCATGTACGTACTGTGCACCTTTGATTTATTTGCCGCCGTTAATATAAATTTTCTGAAATAGTAATTCTGTATAACACATTAAAAATACCTACTTGTTTTAAATTTTAAAGTAATCGCAAATGTTTTTAAATATAAGATTTGAGAAAAATATGTTATTGATGAATAAATTAATTGAAGACACTAGTTAATAAAGCGTCTAAGTGACAAAATTTTGACACTTTGTTTTTTGGTTTGGTTTTTCAATTATTGACAAGTAGGTATGTGTAAAAATGCACATACACATTGTGTATGTGCATTTTTTTATAAATTATTGACATTAATAAAATTAATGAATAGAATAATGATGTTTAGTAACTGCTTAAACAATCACTAAACAGACACTAAAACAGTTAAGAGCCAATGGTTGGTTTTGTGTGTATGTGGTTTTTGAGGTCACTCATTAGGAATTTGGTATCCATTTTTCTAAAAACAAAATGGCTGATCTAATATGGCGGACATTTGTCGTTCAGCTTTAACGATTTGGATGAAATTTTGTATAAAGATATTTTTGGGGTAGCTGATTATGAGTTTTATATAATTTTTTTTTAACAAAATTGCGGATTCAAAATGGCAGATATCTGTGCGCAATAAATACTAGATGACCGTACCTATGCGCAGTGGTTACCAGATGACTGTACCTATGCGCAGTAGTTACTAGATTACCGTACCTATGCGCAGTAGTAAGGTGCACTTTCGGCGTAAAAAGTTTTACTTTTACACAATTTTTTTTATTTCGTGTTTAAATTTCAACAAAAAAAAGTTTTGTACCAATTTTATCCAAAATATTTTTTTGTGTTTTAATTTTATAGCTACTTCGAGAGAAGAGTATTCTCGTCGAGACGTGGACCCATTTTCTCTCCCTGTACGAGACGAGACAAAAGAAACACTTCTCTTCTTTTCTCGTTTCGCGACATCACTACGCAACGTCAACAAAAATTAAGTCTAATTATCGGCGCACCAGACCCGTTTTTTGTTTTTTTTTACTTTAGCGGTGTTTTTATGTCGGTTTTTATTTTGGCGACTGTTTAACTAAAATAAAAATGAATTAGTCCAAAGAAAAAAAATTCGACTATTTTTCAGTTGGTCCCATTTTTGACACTTTTTGGAGGGTAGGGAAGTTATTATCAGAGATAAGAGTTTTGCGGTTTTTACTTCAATGTCCTATTTTTTTCACGAAACAAAAGATCCCGGTGTCAAATTTGCCATAGCCTTCTTAATTCGTATTCTACAGAGTAATACTAAAAATTACCAGTGGTATGGAATGTGCGCAGAGAATTAAAAAAAAGTTTCATGGCTTGTAAAATCCTCATATATTTTTGAGAGGTTCTGACACTGATTTTCTTTCGTTTAAAGAAAGGTTTTTGAAAAAAATCAACATGCTTCTTCTAATTAATAACCGTGAATATTTTTTTGTAAACGCCAAAAACAAATAAACAGGGCATTTCGATAATTAGAATTAATTACTAAATGACGACATAAAAAATGAGCTGCAAAAAAAGTACCCACCTACATTTGACACCAAGTTATGATTTCTATTTACGTCGATTTATTTATTTTTTTATTATAAAATGGAAGTTCCTCAGGAAGTTTACGAATCGAGTAGTGAAATACAAAATTCCAAAGTTAAAAGATCAAAATGTAAAACTATAACAATTTTTAAGGCATGATTTTAAGGAAACGGTTCATCTGACAGAAAATTTCGTTTTTACCTTTTTTGTAGAGCATTCAATTTTCTTCAAAAAATATTTTCGAGTAAATTTTGTTAAACTCAAAGGTTTGGGTTGGGAGTTCTGGGACAAAAACTTGCTGAGGAAAAAAAATTAAAACTGCGATGATAGACCTCTTAATATTAATATTATGGACTCAAATTTTCACAATATTTTTTTTGTCAGCCAAAACTTTTCAATAAAAAAATAGTTGATTTTTTTGGCCCAGTCTAATGTAGCCCCTATTCAATTTTAAAAATATTCATTTTTTGTTCCACCCTAATGTTTACTTTTATAAAACTACTTAAAAGGTTAAAATTAAAATAATAAAAATATTTAAACAGTATAATGGTTTTTCTAGACTTGCTAACTGACTTTTTCCTTCCTTTTTTTGCTTTAGTAAGTTTAAGAAACTCAATACCTTTATGCTTAAAAAATAAGGTAGGTAGATTTTGTACAATTAGAGGGGATTGTCCATGTCACATTATAACATCTTGCGACATGGACGTCATATAAACTCTTTTTGCACAAATTAACTACCGAATCAAGCTAGCAATCATGTCTACAATTCAACCCTACCCAACGGAAATCGTCTCACAATCCCATTGCAGCCCTGCAATCACTAATTTCATGTCGCAATCCTCCAAAATCCCAACAATTTATAAAGAATTCTCCGAAATCACCGCAATCATTCCGAAATCATGGGATTTCGGTCGCAATCCTCCGAAATCGCAACAATTTATAAAGAATTCTCCGCAATCATTTCGAAATCATGGGATTTCGGTCGCAATCCTCCGAAATCGCAACAATTTATAAAGATTTCTCCGAAATCACCGCAATCATTCCGAAATCATGGGATTTCCGCAATACGTGTACATATTTTTTGGAGGTGGTTTCCCCCTCGGTTTTGACAGATGCCATATTATTTTTGCAAAAATAATGTAGGTACAGCAGGTTATTCCTACAATAATGTTTTGATTGATTAAAACACCCACACATGACTGAATTTAAAATTTTCTATTGGTTTTTAGAAACGTGAAATAAATCTAGTAAAAGTCAAAGGAGTAAAGCCACAAAATCATAAAAAAAAACAACAAAATATGCTAAGTACTTTTTTTGTGACAAAATCTTTGCGCGCTATTTTCTTGGATTTGTGGTTTTGTGACTTGACTTTGAGTGTGACTTTTGCTAGGACTCCATATATCTGACACATTTTTCTTATAAATGTGTTGTTTCCCTGTATGATCTCACATTATTCTAATTATCTTAGTTAAAAAATAATTGCCAACTGATTGAGAGTTTAAAAAAAGAAAATTTGTCTAGAAATGCAATTTAAAACAGACTTATAGATTGGCTAATGTAAAATAGGTAACCCAGCATATATTGGAACTTACCTCCATCAACCATAGGTATAACACTAGATTGATCCAAAACACCATTTTCATACTGTAACATTGCAACTAACATTCCATTGATCCACCTTCTTGCGACAATGGAATCTAATCCACAAACAACGATATGAAACTGCCTGTAAAATTCTTCATCATAATCCTGGATTTTACAAAAATGGGGCGTCACGTAACAACCGGCCACTCTTTTATTTATAAATTCAGCAGCCACTTCTGCCTTGGCTGACCCAATGTCTTTATGTCTGAACAAAAATTGTCTGTTTAAATTTGATAGGTCAATAGTATCCATGTCAATGACATGAATTTGTTTAAACCCCATTAAAGCTAAATCTTTCAGCAGTTCGCATCCTAAACCGCCGGCCCCAATAATAAGAATCTTACAAGAGGTCATAATAAAATCCAAAATTTCCGATGATGGTTCGAATTCCGGATGGCAAAAAGGCCCGGGACGTTCCAATACCTTTCTTAAATGACCCCATCTCTTTTGACTAGATTCTACTGTTTCCGACATTGCTATAATTAGTTTATTATTAAGGCCGGTTACAAATAAAAATTATTGACATAACCTCAAAACTTCACGTCAAACTTTGCAAATCTTGTGTCAAAAATACCGCAAAAATGTAATATTACTTTTTAACAATTTAAAGCTTATACGCCAAATCCTTAACTTTATTGAATATTCTTAAATAATTAATTTAAAAAAATTATTGTGTGTCATCTTTAAAGCTAATATATTAGGTAATTATTTTTAAAATTATATGACGCTGTGCATTTGAGCCACTAAATAGTTCCACAAATTGACATTTGTGAGAGGGACAAAACAAGTTTTTTTTAAAACAGTGCTATTTTATAAACAAATCAGTTTTGTGAGCCAGTCTCTGCTGTGGGTTTTATTATGATTTTTGAAAGGGAGTTTAATAAGGAAAACGTATCTCCTTTTAAAGGTATCGATAAAACATCTACCATCGATATAAGATCCTGTGCGAAACCAAACAACAAGGTATGGAAATTCTGTAGCGCATGCCATGTTATTTGTTATTTATGCTCGTTATCACAATTTGTAAATGAAACAATATATTTACAAAGCACTCAATGTTATCCTGAACTGTTTTATTTAGTTTTAAGTTGAAATATTGTCATTTAACATGATATTGCATTTTTGAAATACCATACTCAGAGATATGGATATATCTCTGACCATACTACCACATATATATATATATAGTATGCATTTAGTGCTATCTACCCTAGATAAGTAAATGTCGTTTGCTAAATAACTATTATCATTTACCATGTAGGATTATACCTAGGGATTATACAGCCATACTTACTAAGTACCTATTACTAAGATAAAAGGAATTTTTAAAAACAGAAAACTGAATTATTAACCAACTCTGTGGGTAAAAGGCATAAGGGGATAAGTCAAAAAAAGCAATTTTTCAATAGAGCCCAGGGTGGAAGAAGGAGGTGATATCGCTTCTATCTCTAAAGTAGAGGCAGGTATAACGATACGCATATCGATATAATATCGATACATATTCTGCAAACACTGAATCGATATATCCTTTGCGTATCGTTAGTTTATATCGTTAATTTAAAAATCACGAATTATGCAAAATAGAAAATATGCGAACGGAAAAAAGTTAAACCCAAAGACGTAGATAACTTTCTCTGTCTATGGTTAAACTCTCTATATATTACTATCTATTACATTATTATAGTTTTTTGTTATTTATTAGGTATTTATTCTGATCTGTGTTATTTTAAAAGGCGCAATTGGCCTTCTAAACTGATTTTTGTTTTTTTAATAAAGTTTATTTTTTTATTAAAACCAATTTCTTTTAAATTTAAACCTACAAAGAAAGAAACCGATTTTTTTTTATTCAGCTCGAGGCAATATAAAAATATCGATATTATCGATAATATTTTTTTTGTATCGATACTGTATCGATACACCCCCTGTATCGTTTTACCTGTCTCTACTCTAAAGTACAGAAGCAACGTCCAGTGGACGTCGTCCACATAAGTCAGTATTTCGTTCGTTGTTCGTTAGATGGCGAGTCAAAGAGGAACCTAAGGTTTTACCAACGAAATCCATATTTTCTATAACAACTTAACTTTTAACAACAAATTATAAGATAACCAAAACCCAAGGAGAGTCTTCTACCCTCCTTAACGAAAATTACATCTTTTTTTACAGCATTATTATAATAATTTGCAGAACGATTGGCAATACTGTAGTATTGCCAACTGTTCTGCCAAAATGCACAGTCGCCACAAACGCACAAAAGTGACGTTGAAATGGTTTTCTTTGAATTTTAATTAAGCTTAGTGGTCTATTCTTTAAAGTTAATCAATGCAATTTTACTAAAAATGGGAAAAGTTTCTTGTGCACCAGGATTAAAACAGGTTCCACTTCAATGCGCCATCTATACATACTTTTAATAAATACTGACTTATCTGGCCGCCTTCAACGACGGAGTTGAATCACCTTCTTCTTCCACCCTGATAGAGCCTTTAACGAGTTCGCATTAATTCAGGAAATATATTTATGTTTAGCGGGTATACGCTTTTGTTAGCATATGACATGTGCTAACAAAAGGGTATACACGCTAACCATAAATATATTTCCTGAATTAATGCGAATACGTTTAAGGCTGTACTGAAAAATTGATCATTTTGACTTATCCCGTTATGCCTTTTGCCCACAGAACTGTACATTATTTTCGCCCTACAGGCTCTCCTGGCTATTGCCAGATAAGTTTTCGAAGTATTATTATTATTATTATTATTAATGTTGAAAATTGCACTCCTCTTAATTTAAGCCTTGTCAAAAATACGGTTTGCTGATGTATAAAAAAGAAGGAACAGAAATGCAAGTAACCAAAATTGGCGAATGTTTTTTTATTTACCTTCTCAATAGTAACGGATGTATTATTGTATAGAGAAATGCCAAAGTGACACAAAAATGACTTAATTTATTTACTGGTGGAATTTTCTCAACAAATACCACTCAAGGTTCGATTAAGCAGGACATTTCATGGACTTTTAACTCAAACTTGGGCAAACCCTCAAGTTTTAGTAAAAAGTCAAAAAGTATCCGGCTAAATCAAACCTCTAGTGGTATTACCATGGAGTCTACACAAGGAGTCCGAACTTCATGTTTTTGGACTTTTAACTCAAACTTGATGGTTTGTTAATTTGATAAAATTGCGATAAATTTTTATCGCCCAAATTTCTTCTAATACGTCAAAGTTTGACGGTCAAACCCATGGAGCCTACACAAGGAGCCCGAACTTAATAGGGAAAATTGTCAAAACCTGTCCACTAAATTGACGAGATGCTAAATGCCACTGGCGGCTCCTCTTACTGCGCATGATCGCTTAATTGACAAATGTGCCGCGATTCGAAATGTTAAAGGCACGTTAGTTACGTCATAAAACCAAACCAACCCAAACTCAACAACACAACCCAACCGACCCCGCCCCATTGGGCCCCCCGCCCCATTGAGCAAAAACCCAACTAAAATGGGCAAATTTGTGTTATGATAAAAATAAAACACTTTTTAACAAAGGAACAACAAATTTATGAAATAAAAAAAGTTTGACAACTTCTAGTAGATTTTATGTTACGATAAAACTAAAACAAACCAACCAACCCAACCCAACCGAACACTGTTTAACAAAGAAACAACAAATTTATAAAATAAAAAAATAAAAGAAGTTCGACAGCTTCTTAGTATCGAACCCGGGACCTCTCGCATGCCAAGCGACCGCCCTACCATCTGAGCTATCTACGGATTATAATTATAACGTAACTAACATTTTCAATCGGCACATTTGTCAATTAAGCGATCATGCGCAGTAAGAGGAGCCGCCAGTGGCATTTAGCGTCTCGTCTAAATTGCACAAATTAAGTCTTTTTTTTCACCACCAGCGGCGCTGATTGTCGATGCGTCCGTATGACGTGAAAATAGTATCGAAAATACATGTGAAGTAAGCAAGTACCTAAGTTTGATTTGCAATAATGTTTTGACGTACGAATCGTTTTGTTATTTATGGTAGGTAGATGCTAATAAATAGGTTTTGGTTGTGAAATATAAGTGATTCTTTATAATCTGTGAAGTGATTTTACGACTCTGGAGAAGCAAAATTAGATTTCCAGGTTAGAAATACACCGCTATTTAATAATACAAATTTAATTTAAATAAAAAAGTATGTATAAAATGAGTAAACAGCATATTTAATAATTTCCACCTTTATTTGTTTAAATTGAACTTTTATTTAAGCTATTACCTATAAAACTAAAACTAAATACCATATGGATTTAATATTCTGTTAGTTTTACACGATTTAACATCACACTACATTCTTTTATAGAAAAAAACACGTATTTATAAAAAAACTGTACTATGCTCTACATCAGAAAGTCCAACATGAATTCCAATGTTAAATTTGATATAAATTTATTGTAAATTAAGACCTTTATACACAAAACCAGGTACCGTGGTACATTGTTTTCAGAAAGCGATAAACTCACAGATTATAAAGGATAAACTGACAGTTGCATAACCTCAATTATTTGCACAATAATAAGTGGTAGTGGGTTATACCCCTCTACTGTTTTGGGCCGGTAGTACACCAGCGCCCTCTTATCTTAGGAAGATTCTTGTTTACACGAAGTTCGGGCTCCTTGTGTAGGCTCCATGGTCAAACCCACAAGTTTTCGTGAAAAGTCAAAAAATACCCTGCTAAATCAAACCTCTACTAGAGGTCCTCTAGTGATATTGCATTTGACAATTAAACGATAAGTGTCAAAGCAAAGAACATAAGTCTTAAAGAGTCTTAGTAAAAGATTAGTCCTCATGGTCAAAGTTTTAAAATTACGGCCTTAAACAGGGTACCAATTTTCAATATTAAAAATACCAAAGTATCTACCAACATAATCAAATGTGACAAATTCCAAATAGAAATCATAGATGACCGAAGAAATCTGATTTTCTTTGGTCAAAGCAACTTATATGAAGCTGGAATTCCCTTTCCAGCATAATTTGTTCGGACCTATGCAATAATTATGAGCTAAATATGAGCTAATTTCGCACGATATAAAAAAAGTTGTGCCTCTTTTTTTAAATATAAGGTGTTTTGATGGCTTCAGATAAAAGTTAGAACATTATTATTTTTAACATGAGGTGTTTGGAGTCCAAACTTTGGACATGTTATAGTCCAGTCATATAGGCATTTCACCTCGGAATCTAACGGAATAAGCTGAATTTTTGTACAAATCTTTATTTTAGCATTGCAAATGTTGTCTCAAAAGTCACATATGCCAACGTGTGAGCGGCCTTAGATATTCAAGGTCAAAGGTCGCAAAAATCAATTTTTTGAGAATATCTCCTTTTCTCTGCCTCCTATCGTATTTGCATTTATTATACAAGTTGTAGAGAATAAAAGTCTCTACAAATTAGGTTTAAAACATTTTTTTATACGTCTAATCGTTTTTGAGATAGAGGGCGCAAAGTGTGGAGCGCTCAGCCATACGTATACGTAGGTACGTAGGTATACCTTTAGCGCAAGGTAAATCATGAATCCCAATCTATTATACCGTTTTTTAATTAATTATTTATTAAATATTACTTAAATAACAATTTAATACCTTATATTTATTTTTATATATTTTTTTAAAATAAATAGTCATTAAATATTACTTACTTTTGAGATACAAATAATTAAATAATGAAGTGAATCATTCTAAATATATTCTAATGTTATTCTAATTAATGATAAATGCATTTTAAGAAGAAAAGAAATTAAATGAATTTGCCTTAAATATGTCTCTGGTCATTTCTTGGATCCAGATATTGCTTTTAAAATAACAAACCTGGAAATACTATAGTGGGCTTCCTTTTTCTATGGTGGCCTTTTTCTATAGTGGGCTTGCTATAAATAAAAAGGTTAGGTATACCTAATAGGTATATTTATAGCAAGCCCACTATAGAAA